GAGGAAGAGACATTCTTTGTTGCCGACAGATGGGTGTAGACAGAGGTCAAGGTTGGCGTTCTCGGATCTGCGCGCGGGGGTAATGAACAACACAAAAACAAAACCTTCTTAAATAAGTGCGGGTGACAGAGGACGCTGATGGTCCGGGCCTGTTTACAACCACGTTTAACGTCACATTCGTGCCCCACTGTGCGCGCAAACCTGAAGCGAAGAGTTTATCACACGGAGCCAATTTTCACCCCCCCGCCCCAAAACAAAAAAACAAAACAAAAAGACGCTGATCAGGAAGTTAGAACAACCTGTCCACAGTGATCAGTCACGTGACAGATTCCCAGCTTGCTCCTGGATGTTTTCTCTCTCTCCGCTCCTCTCTCTCACTCAGGTGCACCTCCGCGTGTCACCTTCTACAGTTACAGGATCAGGTTTAGTGGAAGCGGTGGCCGCCTGTCGCCAGCACGAGCAACAGGCCACCCAGGATACCAGATGCCCCGGACCGAGAGCGAAACAACCCCACTCCACCCCAACTCCACCCAGCCCGGTTTATCCCAGTTTGAAACGGACCAAGTCATTTATCAAATGAGAGGCACCTTTAACCCGTGTTTAACGCTTTCAGGGAGGAAACATTCAGCACGGAGTTTGTTTGTTTTTTTTTAACGCAGCTTTTGAATGATTAATGCACACCTCAGGGGGGGAAAAGAGTACATTTCTAACAACAAATCGCTACAAACGTCTCCCTAACTGCACAAACTAAACCCGGGAATCCACAATGAACGTCCACGTAACGCCTAAGAAAACAAAACAAAACGCGCTCCGTGAAGACAGAAGAATGAAAGGTTTATGCCTCTCTCCGTCCTCACTGAATTCCTTTGCTTTTCACTGCCTGCCTACAATAGATAAATAACTAAATGTCACTTACTGTGATATTTTAATCCACGCAAACGTACATACACACACGGGTTACAGTTAAAATCTGACACGCTGGATTAAATAATCCACAAATCTCTTATTTACACTCACACAGAATAGCTCGTAACACGGATTATTATTATGATTATTTTATAATTATTATTATTGTACTTTTAAACAATAACGCAGATGTTGTAGTTTACTGCTGCTCTCCTGTTTCGTATCAAACTCTGAGCAGTAAATCAAACCCGTCTGCTCCGCTCAGCTTTAAATCTGCCTCAACTTCACCACACGCTCGCAAACGGGATAATCACCCTATGTGGGATAATCGTCGTGCACGCGCCCCCGGCACACACACACACACACACACACACACACACACACACACACACACACACACACACGTGAACACTCTCGCCTCGCAACCGGTCGGTCTAATAAGCCACGCAGCGAGTTGCAACCTGCAGAAATTTTTCACTCACTGGTCACGCTGAACCTCCGCCTCCTCTTCTTCTTTTTCTCCCCCCCCACCCCCCTCTTCCTCCTCCTCCTCCTTTCTGCCTTGCCTCCCTCCACCTCCACCACCCCCTCGGTATTAAGTGCGCGTCCTCTGCGGTCAGTGCGCGTATCTCCGGGTCTCCAGAAGCAGCCGCCGGATCCTCCTCTCTCCTCCCGCTCAGCAGCCGCTGGTGCTTCGCGAGCTTCTTTTCCCCGGGAGATCCTCTCCGTCTGCCTCTCTTCCCCCTCCCGGTATACCGCAGCGATCTCCTTCTCCGATTCCTCCGCCCGGCCCCGGCGGTACTCTCTCCTCTGTGCGTCCTCCGAACAAACCGGCGGAGTCGCGTCTTTGCTGCCGTTCTATCACCAAACCCCCTTTATTACCAGAGTATTTACAAGCTCTCCCCCCCTCCTCCTCCTCTTCTTTTTCTTCCTCCTCTTCCTCCTCCTTCTCCTCTTCTCCACCCTCCACCACCACCAGCAGCAGCAAAACACCCTCCCCTGCGCACCGTAAGCAGCTCGAACCTAAGGCTCATCTCAAAGTTGTTACAGCGGGCACTAACTGTCCCGCCGGTGGCGAGAGGCTTCAGTTTGGATAGGGAGAAAGAAAGCAATGGGTTGACCCTGTAGTGCTCATCGTGTGTGGGCACATACTCCCCACACACCCCCACTCAAAATACACGCTCATGTCTCTGTTAAAGTTCTGCACAGTGTGCGTGACGCTCGCGTGAATAACCCCGGCATGATCTTCAGGACACGAAGCAGTTTCTTAAAATCAATCAGTACTAAAAATCAAACCCTGTTTGTAAGTTGGAGTGAAGGCTTTGATTTCCTCTGACCTTGTTAAGTCAGGCTGGTGTAAATGATCGCGCATCAGTGTGCTGTACAGTCTGCCTCACTCACTTAAACAGTCATAAAACAACATTCGTGTAAATAATTTGTTAAACTTTTTAGGTTTTTGGAGTCTGACACTTTAACACTGTTCCAAAACACGAGTGTGTGTTTTATGATTATTGTGATTATTATTACTGCGGGAGGTCAGCAGTGATACAGCCCACTTTGCGCATGTGAAGCCACCCAGGTTATAGACGGTGCCTGTGCTTCTTTGGCTGCCCGACCAGTTTGTCCTGTTCACTGCAACCGGATAGCTGCTGTCTGTCATTTTAACACACGCATCTCTCTGTCTGATACCCCCCCCCCCCAAAAAAAAAACAAAAAACAAAACCTTCCGAGCTTTAAGGACACATGCTTGTCCGTGCGCATGCCGCCCACGGTCCAGATGAGCTTGTGTCCGTTCTTCTTCTTTTTCTTATTTTTGCGCGCTTTTCTCGAACAGAAGCCGCTACATGCGACAGACTTTTGCACACACACGCGCGCGCGCTCTCTCTTCCTGTATATATGCAGCAGTATCATATCCGCCCCCTCCAGTGAGCTCCTGTCCGCGGTTTCCCTTGCCCTGTTTTGCGTCCACCTCTCTCTCTCTTTCTGCATATTGCTTTCATTAGACATCTCTGCCTCTCTTTCTCTTTCTCTTTCTCTTTCTCGCTCACACACACACACACACACACACACACACACACACACACACACACACACACACACACACACACTCCTCCCTCCCTCCAAGTGGCTCTTGTCCGGCCCCCCTGATCTCTGTGTCCATTGGCTTCCACCGGGTCTATTTCTCATGTCCAGCCCCCTCCCTCCGAGCTCTCTGTCTCTCCCTCCCTCTCTCTCTCTCTCTAATGACCGTCCATTGGTGTTGTTACTGCGCGTCCCGTCCGTCCCTCCTCCCACTCCCACTCCCACTCGGGTGCCTCGGCCCTGCCCATGTTTTTGTATGTCGGGTGTCTGTCCATCGCCTGACGTTCAAGTTCGCCGGGAACGTCACGTCCGTGCACTTGAACTTGCACGGCTCAGAGGGGGGTGGGGGGTGGAGGGGGGGTTGAGGGGAGGGGTGGCGTGTGTGTGGGGGGGGGGGGGGGGCTTTTGCCATTTTTTCCATCTCTCTCCCCTTCTCTCTCTCTCCATCCACCTCTATCTCACTCTCTCTCTTTTTTCTCTCTGCTCTCCTTTCTCAAAAAAGCCATGACGGCGATCCCGCGATCCATCTTCGCCTCCGCGCCATCTTTATATTATTTCTAATTTATTTTTATTTTTTTTCCTCCCCTTGCCCCTCCGCCTCCTCTTCTCGTGGATGTCAGAGGCGTTGGATGAAGATATTTTTTTTCCTGCCCCACCGGAGTCTCCTCTCTAACCCTGGCTCTCCCCGATGTGATCCGCGCTGAACGCCGCCGCCGCCAGCCACCATGTCTCGCCGCAAGCAAGGCAAACCCCAGCACTTAAGCAAACGGGATTTTTCGCGTAAGTAAAAGATGAGAAAAACAAAATGTCATTTCTGGGTCCCTTTTCACTTCATTCAGCTACGATTTTTCGGGGGGGAGGGGGCGGGAGCGAAGCTGGAACTCCTGGACACCGGACGCACCGCTCGGACCCGCGGTCATCTGGACTTAAACAGCGTGGCGAGAAAGTGCGACACCTCCGTGCGTAAAAGCTGCTCGGAGATCTCTTCCCCCCTCCTCCTCAAAGCCTGTCACAGAGAAAAAGTTTTGCGCGTGTGGGTATAAACCCGCCGCAGCTTCTCGCTTCTGTGGGCTGTTAAATGTACTCGCTGTGGCTCCGGTGCCCCCGCGGTCGCTCCGGTCAGTGGAAGCGCGCAGGGCTGCCGGTAGCAGAGCGCGTCCTCTCCGCGGAGCTTCGTGGAGAACTCACCCCGGAATATCGCTGCCTGCTAGTTCTGCATGCTGCTTGTTCATCTGCTCGCTCTCACATCTCTTCTTTTTTTGGGATTATTTTCAGAAAACCCCCCAAAACAAAAACAAAAAAACTTGGAGGTGGATTTTTGGATCGAGTGGAGGGGGGGGGGACAAAAATCTCGTGTCTGACAGTCTCTGTATCAGCAACACGGACGACACAGATCGATATTTTTCTTATACTTAAAAAAAATCCTTGTGCCTCTCGTGTAAAAGCTGTTTATTGATGTTTAGTTTAGATGAGAGGCTTTCTTCCTGAAAGTGCAGATCCTCCTGCAGTTCAGAGTTAAAGACAAGAAACAGCAACAGGACGACAGCATAGCCAGCTCGGTCTTTTTGTTCGTCTCTTTTTTCTCTCCTTCCACAGAGATAAATGTGGACCAACTTAAAAAAATAGATTCCCAAGCTATACAGAGCTAAGGTAAGATATTAATGCCAGCCCGTTGGGTTTTTGGAGCTGCAGCGTGTGTGAGGGGGAAAAAACTGACAAAATTGTTTGAACTCCGTGGACACAATCTACTTTTACGCACGGCGTTCTTTTATCGCCGGATCTTTTAATTAATTTCACTTTATCAGAGTTATTTCAGCGTGATATTTTGAGAGAGAGCAGATGAGTGTGCTGAGAAACTGCAGGGCAATTGGCAAAGTGGCGTTTATCACCGCGCCATGTGCCGCACGGTGCGCCGCCTCGCAGCGTTTTCAGCGACGGAAAGTGCCCGCAAACACGAAAACGAGGGAATTTGGGCATCTTTACGCTTCGGTGTTTCGGTATGTTGACTGGCTGTAGCCCGTGTTAGGCTGTTGGAGTGAGACAGAGTGTGTGTTTCTGTATGAGTCTGTGTGTGTGTCCAGTTGGGTGACAGTCACAATGACCGCGTGCCGTCGCTAGGAGGCAGAGTGCGATCAGAAAATCCGGCTCTCGACTTGGACCTGATGAGTTTCACTGCCGCCCCTATCTGCACGGGCTACTATTTGGCGATCTCTTTAGAATAAAGGGAGAGTGTACAAGACATGGGGAAGGAAAGAGGGAGGGGGGGAGAAAACAAGAAAAGCAGGGAGACCCCCCCCCCCACACACACACACACACCACCTCCACCATACATCCCCATCCTGAATTCCTCTTCATCACCTCAAACCTACTTTCTTTTTTATTGTTCTTGTGCATCATTTATTTACACTCAGAATATACATCACCTCTGCAGACTTTTGACCCCTCCCCCCTACCCTTTAGCTCTCACTTGACACACACACACGCTTATTTTATTTTTGCATAAATTTTGTTACTAAAGCAATTCAGATTTTTTGGCCTCAGAAAAAAAACAATCAACATCGTGTGGTCAGTTTTCAGTTTTAGCACCTGTGTTTTTAATATCGATTTCCCCCTTCTTCTTCTTCTTCTTTAATTTTTATTACATTTCAGTTTTTTATAGAACATCATTTTCATCGCAGCCCCAGTGTTTGCTTTTACACATACAGACAGCCTGGATTTAAAACGTTAACAGTGGGGTTTTATTGTTTTGTTTATTTTTTCAGTGATGTTTCCTCCTCTAGAATAAACTACATTATCAGTCATTTTCATGTTTTGCCAAGATGGTATTTAAAAAATAATTATTCTGGGAGGCAGTCAGCCAGCAGTTTAAACATCTACTTTTACAGATCGATGAGAGAGGTGGAACTTTAACGGTGGACTTAGCTGAAATGATTTTCTAATTGATGAAACATTTATAACTTTATTTTTTACAGTCATTCCACCCCCTCCTTTAGGAAATGTGATAGCTTTGTTGTGCATGTTCCGACATGTGGATTTAGACACATAATCCTCCTCTCTGCTCCTCTCTGCCTGTTTATTTCATCTACCTGCACTGCTCTAAAAATAGACACACGGCTCTCATTTAAACACGTTTTGTTGAATTTAGCGTTCATATGCTTTTTGAATCAAATCTTATTTAAGGTCTTTCGCCCTCCTCTCCTCATGCTCTGCTAAACACCCCAGACATCCCCTCTCAAGTTCAACTTTAGAGGTGAGGGGCTTATGCAGCTTCCATTAGATTTTGTTGTTATTGTTGTTTTATCCGGAGAATTTAATGCCCCCTTCTTCTTCTTCTTCTTCCTCCCTCCTCCTCCTGGGAGCTGTTGTGTAACTTGTGTGGCATTGTGTTGACCCAAGTTAAATCAAAGAGAAGTGTGACTGTGTGTGTGTGTGTGTGTGTGTGTGTGTGTGTGTGTGTGTGTGGGTGTGGGTGGGGTGGGGGGGTGTTGATGGGGCAGCAGCAGCGGCTGCGGTCTTGGTGGAATTTACCATGTTATCTTCATGTCCCAGTTTGCGCAC